CAAGATCTTACCAACATGTGTACCCGCATCGGTTGCCTGTTTGCAGTTCTAGACGAAGCTAAGATGCAAGTAAATCCGGACAAATCCCTGTTGCTCATCCGCTCGTCGGGCCGAGCACTCGCTAAGTGGGTGAAGGCACGCACCTTTAAACGTAAAGATCAGAAGCTCATCCGGCTCGGCACCCCTTTCCAGCCCATCGACATAGGCCTCGCCACACGCATACCCTACCTAGGTACCATCATGTCTTTTGATGCCTTTGAGACCCAAACAGCTGACCTACGCATACAACAGGCCAAGACTGCAGTAGCTAGGCTCAGCCGTGTCCTTTTCAAGAAACAGGGTCTCAGCCTACAGCATCGTTTAAGAGTGTATCGCACCTGCGTCCGAAGCACCGTTAGCTACGGACTAGCCGTGGTGGGCACCTCCTTTCAGGCCCTTAAGAGGCTTACCAGCCTTGAGGCCCACCACGTGCGCTGCATTAGTGGTAACCCACGGAAGGAAGACGGCGAGTCGGCAGAGGACATTTTCCAACGGCTTCACTATACTAGTATCTCAACGTTTCTTGTTGATGCTTCCAAACGCCGACTCGATGCGCTGATGGCCTGCCGTGATTCCTTTCCAGGTATCGCCGAAGACATACAGTGGCAGAAGACTGTGCACCTTTCTTACCTTAACCCTGTGCAGCCTTACACGTCTCACAAGCCCACCCACCCTGAACAGCACAGTTTTCAATGCCCGCAGTGTCCGAGGACCTTCGACACTATGCATGCGATGCGCACACATTGTGCGCGCACTCACAAAATTAGCTTCGTCAGGCCAGATCTGCAGCAAGGTACGGCGAGACAAGAAGTTGACATCGCATTGCATAGTTTACACGGGTTACCCACCTGTAGGCATTGCGGGTTTGCCTTTCGCAAATGGAGCGGCTTTAAAGGTCATATCTTGTCAGCTTGCCCCGTGCTGCACGCCCGGACGACCCAACCGGCTACGCTCCCAGACGCCTCTGCACTTGCCGAAACAGCGCCAGGGTCTGCTGAGCAGTCCGCTGCGGGACCCGCGCTTACTACGGTGCCGCTCTCCCCCGCCCCTCCTCATGACATTGCTCCTGCTACTATCTCTACTGATGAGCGGGGCCCGGAAATCGTGCAGGAGGCCAATGACACAGCTTTGGGGCCCCCCGAGCTTCCACTGAGTCGCCAAGCTGAGGTTCTTCAAACTTGTAGCTCAGGCTGGGTCGACTTTGCTGAGTCACGCGGCGAGCAGCTGAAATACTACTGCGTCATTTGTGGCCAGTGGTGTGCCCCCACGACCGGCGGCCTTAAATCACACATGCGCCGATCTCATCCCACACAGTGGGCCATGGATAAAGATATCAGCAATGAGTTGAAAATGCACCACCGGCTCAAGTACAGAGGGGTTTGCAAGGCCTGCGGTTTCCAGCCCACCGGTGCGCAGAAAGGCGCGCTCCACACACCGAAGTGCGTAGCATACTACCAAGCTTGTCTGCTGCATANNTCACGCCCGACTCCAGGACCACACATGGCTTCGGAAGGGCAGCAAGAAGTCCTCGACGTGTTCGGGAGGCACCTCCCGTCCGTGGCAGCGGCAGCGGAAGCACCGGAAAAGCAGCAGGAGGACGACCGCCCTCGCAAGTGGTCCAAGCCGGAGGGCAAAGGCGGCAAGACGCCCGCCCGTGCGACCAGGAACAACCGGGGCTGGAGCAACTGGAACCAGTGGGAAAACAACGACCAGGCCAAGCTGACGGACCAAGTGTCGGGAGAGGACGTTCGCAACCTCCTTGCGCTCGTGACGAGACTGAGCCTCCGCCAGGAGGACGACCTGGCAGCCACCCGCGCCGACAACGCCTTCCTCTTCTACATGGAGACGAGGACGATCGGCACCTACCGCCCGATCCCGTCATTCACGAGCAACTTCTATGCGATCGCTCAGCAGTGGCAGCAAATCAAGGACAAGACGCCGGAACGACTGTCCCTTTCCCTCCGGACAACCCTGCTCCTGGCCTACATGACCGAGTTCCACGAGAGGCTTCGCCA